GGGCCACCAAAGGGAATGGGGGTGTCCCCGGGGCCGCCGAGGGCCATGGGGGTGTCCCCGGGGTCACCAAGGGCCATGGGGGTGTCCCCGGGGCCACCAAAGGGAATGGGGGTGTCCCCGGGGCCACCGAGGGCCATGGGGGTGTCCCCAGGGCCACCAAAGGGAATGGGGGTGTCCCCGGGGTCACCAAGGGCCATGGGGGTGTCCCCAGGGCCACCAAAGGGAATGGGGGTGTCCCCAGGGCCACCGAGGGCCATGGGGGTGTCCCCGGGGCCACCAAAGGGAATGGGGGTGTCCCCGGGGTCACCGAGGGCCATGGGGGTGTCCCCAGGGCCGCCAAAGGGAATGGGGGTGTCCCCGGGGCCGCCAAGGGCCATGGGGGTGTCCCCGGGGCCACCAAAGGGAATGGGGGTGTCCCCGGGGTCACCGAGGGCCATGGGGGTATCTCCAGGGCCACCAAAGGGAATGGGGGTGTCCCCAGGGCCACCAAAGGGAATGGGGGTGTCCCCGAGGCCACCGAGGGCCATGGGGGTATCTCCAGGGCCACCAAAGGGAATGGGGGTGTCCCCGGGGCCACCGAGGGCCATGGGGGTGTCCCCAGGGCCACCAAAGGGAATGGGGGTGTCCCCAGGGTCACCAAGGGCCATGGGGGTGTCCCCAGGGCCACCAAAGGGAATGGGGGTGTCCCCGGGGTCACCAAGGGCCATGGGGGTGTCCCCGGGGTCACCGAGGGCCATGGGGGTGTCTCCAGGGACACCAAAGGGAATGGGGGTGTCCCCGGGGCCGCCGAGGGGAATGGGGGTGTCCCCGGGGTCACCGAGGGCCATGGGGGTGTCCCCGGGGCCACCAAAGGGAATGGGGGTGTCCCCGGGGTCACCAAAGGGAATGGGGGTGTCCCCGGGGTCACCGAGGGCCATGGGGGTGTCCCCGGGGCCGCCAAAGGGAATGGGGGTGTCCCCGAGGCCGCCGAGGGCCATGGGGGTGTCCCCAGGGCTGCTGAGGGATGCGTGGGTGTCCTGGGTGCCACCTACACCCCCAAGAGCCAGGTGGGTGGCCCCAGGGCCACCGAGGCTCCCAAGGGCAACGTGGGTGTCCCCAGGGTCACTGAAGGGAATATGGGTGTCCCCAGGGCCGCCGAGGGCAATGGGGGTGTCCCCGGGGCCGCGGGGGTGTCCCCAATGCCACCGAGTCCCCCAAGGGCCACGGGGGTGTCCCTGGTGCCACCGAGGGGAACGTGGGTGTCCCCGGGGCCACCAAAGGGAATAGGGGTGTCCCCAGGGCCACAGGGGTGTCCCCAGGGCCACCAAGGGCAATGTGGGTGTCCCTGGTGCCACCTACATCCCCAAGGGCAACATGGGTGTCCCCGGGGCCACCAAGTCCCCAAGGACCAGGCGGGTGTCCGGGGTGTCCCTGGGGTGTCTGGGGTGTCCTCAGGTGTTCCCAGGGTGTCCCCGGGGTGTCCAGGGTGTCCCAGGTGTCCCCGGGGTGTCCGGGGTGGCCCCAGGGTGTCCCCAGGAGTCCCCAGTGTCCCTGGGGTGTCCAGGGTGTCCGGGGTGTCCCCGGGGTGTCCCCAGGAGTCCCCAGTGTCCCTCGGGTGTCCAGGGTGTCCCCAGGTGTCCTGGATGTCCCCAAGTGTTCTGGGTGTTCCAGGTGTCCCTGGGATGTCCGGGGTGTCCCGGGTTTCTCTGGGTGTCCTGGGTGTCCCCAGGTGTCCCTGGGGGTGTCC